TTAACGAGCACAAGAACCTTTGCTCCCATTTCCTCTCCTGCTGTCAGATCTATCCTTTAACGAGCACAAGAACCTTTGCTCCCATTTCCTCTCCTCCAAAAAGGAACACGTCCCGGAAGCCAAGGGGGGAAAAGACAAGCTGAGGGGTTTCATGCGAGTAACATATTTGCGGAACAAACAGCAAAAGATGGCAGCATGCAAGCATGGTTTGGACGAGGAAAAAAAACACAAGATTGTACATTTTTTTAATGAGGACCGAGCGACACGACTAGTTGTAGTAAGAACCATGATACTGGTGATCAAAAGTCTACTATTCTCTATCTTAGAATCGGGTAAGCTTATAAACGATTACGATAGAGGAGCCGCGCGGTTCATCTACTGCTTTCGGTTTTTATGTTACCTGGTAAACACGCACACGCGCTCACTCAAACTCATTAATAGCTGCAGAAAAATATAACGTATCTCTGACAACCACAGCATGCCAACGTGACTTCGACGGATGGACACGAACGCAGGACAGGGAATATTCAGAGCTGGTTTCGTCAGATGGGCATGCGCAACCTTGTCACAGAAGGAAGACCTTTTTAGAAGCAAAATGGTCAGCTTTATGGAAACTCCTCGTAGTGTTGTAAGAACTGATAGAAAGGCAATTGATGGGTTTTTTTCTATCAAAATTCAGCAGCAAACCCGTCATAAGTTGGGACGAGAGTAACGACGGTAGTACTAGGAGTCTTAAGCTGCAGAAGCACTTGATTCTCTAATCAGGAATATCAACACTCTAGGCGCAGACGAAGCACCGGCAGTAGAGGCAAAAGCTGAGAAACACCTAGACTCAACAGGCGTGAGAAGTAGCATGGTACTCAAGCATACTTGCGTAGCTACGTGTTTTCTGTCACTGTACCAAGAACTGAAAAAACTTCTTACCCTGTTGGTGTTGAGTGCATTATGTGCTTCATTCGTGATCCATTTGTGATTTTCCCATCCCGGACTACGACTAGTAGCAAAAATGTTATAGCAAGTTTTTATACCTCTGCAAGAACTACATTACACTACAACAGCGAATGAGCGCTAGTCCTGGACCTAAGACGTCAGCAGTCAGATTCAGCGAGCATCACGGGTCAAACGCGGGGACCTTTAGCGAAGATCCGCACAACTCCATCTATCCAAGTGCGAAAAGCATACACAGAGTGAAAACGGTACTTCTTCATTGGTTGTCTACTTCTCACAAGACGCAGCGGCGCAGGATTTCTTGGATTGGCATTCTTCAGATTCCACACAAACACTACAACACACTCTCCTCCAGAATCCAGATGATATTAAAAACCAAACCCGCTGCTCAGATTCCCCACAACAAAACGCCGTATGCGCATAGTTCGGAATTTGTCGCACTAAAGGAAGAGGTGCAAGCTTTCAATGAAGGAGGATGCGTGATGTCAGAGGCGGACGTGTACCACAATTGTTCATACAGATTTTGATTTGTTCTTTTTCGGAGTTGCTCGATACTACGTGTAGTTGCAAGTACTAGTAAGCTGCATACTTCTTTCTTACTTCTCTCTCTTTCTTATTTCTGATGTTGTCGTTTTCCAGTTCTCCTGATTAGAGGTGCGAAAAACACTTACTGCTATTTTCAGGTCTCAGCGAGAGCCTATGGATGTTAGTCAGCCTCAAAGAAGTACGCTCTTAGACCATAATCCAGAAAAGCCCTTTTCATCCGAACAAGCTGCTATTAATGGCAGAGTGAGTTCCCGGAAATATATCGCTGCGCCACAGCCAGAAAGAAGTGACGATGCGGCTGGTTTGGTGCATGTTGGAAGTACTACTTCATAATCTGTTTTAACAATCTATTTTTTCTTGGTATTTCAATTTCGAACAATATTCGAAGATGTTAGTTAAGTAGTTTAGATTGTGCTTCTCGTAAATGATGAATAATGTGAAGATAAACATCGAAGTCACAGTGAAAGAACTACGACTTCCACTACATGAAACACAAAGAGACAATGATACATGATTACTCATCCTTCAAGGGAAATCTTAGGCAGACTGCCGAGTAGATCCACATCGTCACTCAACCACAGCTGGCATCGCGGGTGGACCGGAAAAAGTGCCGCAGAAAAGCTATTCCGTCATGGTCCATCAACAGCCGCCAAGATCAGACTATTAAGGCAAGGTTGATGGTTGATGGTCATGGTTGGCTCAAGGCTTCCCCCATTTTTTGAGCGAGGTTTAGGCTAGTGCTCAGGGCCGATAGGAAGAATTTTTTCGCACGAATGTGATTGCAACGCGCCCCTCCTTTTCTAAGGTAAAAACCAAAAGCCGAACCATGGCTGCTTCTATTATAGATCAGAGCCATGGATGCTTCTAAGGTAAAAACCAAAATGCTTCTATTAATATAGATACTGGTCCTAATGGATATTTGTTATAGACCACACCCTCTAACACACTAGCCGGCAAGTGGTTGGACGATACGAGGCTTCGGTGAATAGTCCTTCGGGTCGAAGAGCGGCAGCGGATCTCTATCACTATTGATAGTGCAGTGTACTAAATCCTAGGATTCTTGTCTAGTGGTAGTGTTCCACTCATAGTCATATAATCATCTTACATCAATTTGTACGACCATAAAATGCTCAATCAACGGAGAGACCTAGAGAATATAGCTCAATGTGGTAAAGAACCATCAAAATTTAATGACTAAAGTTAAGATATCTTGTTCAAGTTGTTAGAAGGTAAATGTCTTCATATACAATGCACTTGCGGTTCAGAACCTTGACCCTTGTTCTTCTGTTCCGACTTGCCCCTAACTCCGCTGCCCTCTACCTCTTCTTGTACAGAGTCGTTACATTTAACGTAAAACAAAATGCCTTATGCTTACTGCAACTTTTGAAGTCGGAGCGAGCAGGTAGAGTGGGTGGTCATGGTGGATTAGACTTTATACTTAATCTCGAGATCGAGTGAAGTCATAATTATTTGATGTCCATGCTGTTTCTATATCCATCGCCTTCGGCATTTTGAACTTCTGAGTTAACAACTAGCACACGGTAAAAAGTTAGATAACCGAGTACATCTTCTTGTTCCTCAGTCACCCAGAACCAACGGGCTATAAAGATCGCTACAGACTTGGACTTCTAAGACAAACTTCCCATAACCACGAGAAGCTCAAGCAGCAAGAAGAGCGTGCCTTTGCAACATTGTTGTTTTCGTGTTCTACTTTTGCTTCACGAGAAACCAAGAAATTCCAATGGCGTAAATTGTAGTTCTTCACAAGCTCAAGCAGCAAGAAGAGCGTGCCTTTGCAACATTGTTGTTTTCGTGTTCTACTTTTGCTTCACGA